CCCTCCCCCCCTAAAATCCTCCGACTCTATTCAGGCGATAAATGATGACACAATTAAGTTTGCTTGATTTCAGGAGGTTGGCTGCTGGTCGCAAACATTGTGGCTGAGGATTCCATTCCTCAGAGGATGACGTCTATGGAATCATACCTTAAAATACAAGACTACAACAATTCAAAAATGTTCCTTTCCGATACTGCCATGACCGAACTGCGGAAGCGTTTGTCTTTCACTCAGCTGAGATTCCACTGCAGCAAACAACTGGGACGCACGTTCCACGTGACCACTGTCGCTAACAGCTCTGGTGAAGCCGTGGTCAAGTACTTCAGCGCTCAGACGAATGAGCGACCTTCTTCATGCAACTCTTTCCAGAGAGTAGAGGGGGATAATTCTTCCCTTTCTGTGGCATGTCATGAGTGGGGGACCAAGCATGACGGGAGATGGGGTCACGAGGACGGAAGTAACAGACCAGTCAATCACTTGGCGTACGTTTCACATACGTATCACTGGCATATCGACCAGCAAGACTGGTTGTGCGATGACAAAAGAAACGAAAATAACCTATCACGTGGAGATTTTTGGAAAATATATGCGCGATAAGCGATCTTAAGAACTACCCACACTCCACACATTACGATTGAAAAGAGTGAAATTGTGACTGTTAGATTTTTCGGTGCTCTTTCCCCATCACATGCTGTAGTTAGATTTTTACCATGAGTATAATTCAACGAGACAATACGGTTGATGAGAAAAAAAAGAGAAAGTTCTAACATCATTTGAACATCATCAAAAGCTGCACCCAGCCTTTTTAATCTTAGGAAAGCAAGCCAATGAAATCAAGAACAAAGGTTAAAAAGGTGAGTTATATCAAGTATAGCCTACCTTACTTACTATATTCCGGGTATTATAGTTTTCTCATCGTATATGTTAAAAAGACTTTGATTACAAAAACCTTTGCGGAAGGTGTTCAAGAACTTGTAAAACGAAGACAATGACGTAATAACTTTCATTGTTGTCGCATAAAGTATGCGATATGGTGACACTCTTTGTGGAATGATCTTGTTCACAATTCAGTTGTCATTGTATAGTGTTATACTTCTGTAGCAGAGTGTTTTAAAGAACCGTTATGAAGGACCTCGAGATAAGTTTATGTTTAGAGCCGTTCCGAAGGACATCGGTACTAGTTCAGTGTTTAAAAAATGGTAAACACCACTTGGGAGGTTTGTTAAGCACTCAAGAAGCTAGAGTCGCTCTCGGCTATCGCCTCGAGCGACTCTTACGCTTCTTTCGTGCTTAGCAATCTCCCGCGTGTATCCATAACTCGATAGTGCACGCTGTGATGTTTACCATTTGTTAAACACTGAACTAGTATCGATGTCCTTCGGAACGGCTCTAAACATAAACTTATCTCGAGGTCCTTCATAACGGTTCTCTAAAACACTCTGCTACGCAAGTATAACACTATACAATGACAACTGAATTGTGAACAAGATCATTCCACAAAGAGTGTCACCAGGTCGCATACTTTATGCGACAACAATGAAAGTTATTACGTCATTGTCTTCGTTTTACAAGTTCTTGAACACCTTCCGCAAAGATTTTTGTAATCAAAGTCTTTTTAACATATACGATGAGAAAACTATAATACCCG